CTGATCAGTAAACATTTCTTCCAGCAGAGGTCCGAATCGCATGATCCTTCACATCAGACCCCTATATCTTTCTTACATCGGTATCCTCTGCTCCCCCTGCATATCGTAATTCCCCCCTTAACATCACAGTCCTTCACATTACATCACAGTTTCCCCTTATCAGGAGGGTCCTCAGCTGCCCTTCACAGTAGTGTTCTGAACATCACATCACACTTCCCCCTTCATTCACAGTGCTATCCTCTACCCCCTTTACATCCTCCCCCCACATCCATGTCGTCTACCCCCTTCACACATCCTCACAGCCATGTCCTCTGTCACCCTTCATAACTCCTCAGAGCCACATCCTCTACCCTCTTCACACCTGCTCCCCACAGCCATGTCCTTTACCCCCCTTCACACACACCCCACCACAGCCATGTCCTCTACTCCCTTTACACCCCCTCCCCCCCACAGCCATGTCCTCTACCCCCTTCACACACCCCTCCCCCGCACAGCCATATCATCTACCCTTCTTCAAACCCCCCACAGCTATGTCCTCTACCCCCCTTTACACTTCCCACTCCAACAGCCATGTCCTCTACCCCCCTTGACCCCCCTACCCATGTCCTCTACCTCCTTTCACATCCCCCTTCTCCCACAGCCATGTCCTCTACCCCCCTTCACACCCCCACCCATGACCTCTACCCAATTTCCCTTCCCCCTCCTCCTACAACCATGTCCTCTACCCCCTTTCACTTGCCCCTCCTTTCACAGCCATGTCCTCTACCCCCCCCCTTGATGCCCCCCCCATGTCCTCTACCCCCTTTCATATCCCCTTCCTCCCACAGCCTTGTCCTCTACCCCCTTCACATCCCCCAGGGCACAGAGAGCAAACAGTTAAAAGATGCAGAGACTTACACACAGTTCTGGACAGCGGGCGGGAGGAAGCGCAGCACTGGACAGGAGTGGGAGCTGAACTTGAACTTTTCAAATTAACCAGAAGTTGATTGGTTGCTAGGCGGTCCTAGCAACCAATCACCAGCTTGTTAAAAGAAAAGGTTAGCTTTGGCAGCTTCCACCCAGTGCTTTGCTGCCTCCAGCTCCACTCTAGGAGAATGACAGTGAGCAGAGGCTGGAAAAAAGAAAGTGGCTCTTTAAGTGACATGACCACAGTGGCCTGGAATGGACACTGACTTGGTCCGGATCCAGACCACAGTCTGCCATTTAACGATGCCTGGATTAGACCATTGTAATATGCATGTACATTGAATTATGTTTGGAGTGATTGGGAGGTTTTTGCAGCCAATGATGTATATGCTTGTATACACACAAAAAGTGTCTCAGAAAATCTTGTGGTATTTCAGGAGGAAATAGGTATATTTTATGTAATGGGGGGGATTTATTAAATGTAATGGGGTTGATTTACTAAAGGCACATAGACTGAGCACTGCAAGTGAAGTTGCTCCAGAGCTTAGTAACTGAGGGGGAGTTCTGCTGTATTCCATCCTCCAATCATGTGTCAAGCAAAAATGCTGTTTATTTTTTCCTTGCATGTGATTGGGTATTCTTTGTAAAGCTTTACCCCATGTACTCAGCTCTGGAGCAACTTGTGAACTGCACAGTCTATTTACCTTAAAGTAGGAACCATAGGCCAAACATTTTTTTTCATTGTGGATAGAGTAAGGGAGGGTTATAAACCCTGTCAGTTTTTTTTTTTTTTGGGGGGGGGGGGTTGCCATCTGTGTCCCCATTGGCAGATTCCCCCTCTATTACTTTTCTGGGGACAACCCAAAATGTGGGATTTTCTTTTACTTTCACTTTCAATGATAAAGGTAAACAAGACAAATAGAGAGGGTGAATCTAATGGGGGCACAGACAATAATAAAAACCTGACAGGTGTTCTTATCCACCTCCACTTTATCAAAAACTAAAAAAAACATTTCCCTTAGTAAATAAATCCCAATGATTCTGTGTTTCTCCAAATTTAGGTTTCTATGCATTACTGTTAAGAGAACTGATCCAAAAAGGAGGATTTTGACATTCCTTAACCACTTGACAACCGGGCTACAGTCAAATGACGGCTACAGCACGGTTGTCCAGCTCTGGGAGGGCGTAATATGACAGTGCGCACCCAGCGCTGTCTGTGATCACTGTGTCCTACGGACACAGCTGATCACATGACAGGGTAAAAGGCCAATCACAGCGGCCTTTTACCATGTGATCAGCTGTGTCCAATGACACAGCTGATCACAAAGTAAATACACTTGCCAGTTATCGGCAGCACTTTTATTACGCTGTCACAGCATGAGGAAAGTACTGACGATAACTGGCAAAGTGTCACAGAGGACATCTACACTGATAATCAGAGCACTTATTATCAGTGCAGACCCAAAAGTGCCCAGCAATGGTGCCCATCAGTGCCACCCATCAGTGCCGCAAATTTACCTGTTTGCAAAGTTTTATAATAGAAACAAAGAAAACCTTTCTTTTCAAATTTTTTGCTTGTTTTTTGTTTATAGTGCAAAAATCAAAAATGCCTGTGGTGATTAAATACTACCAAAAGAAAGCTCTATTTGTGTAAAAATGATAACAATTTCATATGGATACAATGTTGCATGACTGCACAATTGCCATTCAAAGTGCAACAGAACTGAAAGCTGAAAATTGGCCTGGGCAGAAAGGGGTTAAAAGTACCCAGTAGGCAAGTCGTTAAATACAGTGTGCCTGGACCACTACTTAATTACCACATACATTTATTATTTATTTCCTTCTGTGAATTGAGTTTAACACCTTTTCCTGTAGTATTTACTGAGCGTTTTGTGGTAAATACCGCCAAATGGTATAGTGAACTGACAGTTTCAGGATCACATGCGATATTTAGGGAAAATATGTCCAAACACCTAAATACCGCATGTGATATGCTTTTGTGAATGGAGCCCAATAACCCATATTTTTATTTTTTATCATGTTAATGGTTTGTGGATGACTTTTGGATGACTTTTGATATAATAGGGTTTGATGATTTGATGGTAATCCAGACTTGTATGTTTACTCTGTTGTTGTTTAACCACAGTTAATTACCAGGTGTTCTTTGGTAAATCCATCACAGTGAGGCATGTCATTTTAAGGCCCCTCTCACACGTGCGGACTGTTTGTCCATTTTTCATCCATTTGTTGACGGATGAAAAACGGACATCAATGCATCTGTATGGAAAAAGGAATGTAAACGGATGATCATCTGTTTACATACTAATCCTATACAGATAATACATTGCAAGATAAAACCTGCCATGTCTCTATTTGCTGTCTATTCAAATGCCCACACAATATCCCCCTGCTAACCAATTTGTACTAAACACCTACCTGAAGTCTATATTTTGAATAGTTTGGGAATAATAGGGGATAAAAGAATGGGAGAAACCCTAGGGGTGTGAAGTTGTGTTTTTGAAATGTTTTGTACACTCCACTCAAATTTTTTGTAAATGATGCAGTATTTCATATTAGTAATAAATTAGCTTGACTAATGTATGAGCAGTCATTTGTACCTTGTAATTTCCAAGATCAAAACTGCAGATTAGTGAATCTCTCCAATTTTCAATTTGCCCAACAGTGAGAAAAAGCCTGAAAAACAGGAAATGTATACACCCTTCTAAATGAGCATACAAGTCACTATACATTCACAAATACAGTAGTTCCTAACCTTGTGGGTTGTATGGAACAAGGGGAGATGGGGTTTCCCCTCAGCATTATACACACAAGAGAAATTCATACTCTCTATACTGTACATAACATGAAGCTGAAGGGTTTGAGGATGTTCACTTCACTTCAATTATTCAATCATGTGCAGATGAAATAAATATATAGGCATTTTCTTCTCATATCTCTGAATAACTGCGGTGAATGTTCACTATGAATTAAGTTACTGGTAAACAGATTTTTTTACAAACATGTCAAGGATGAAAATTATCAGATATTGTGAACTTCACTTTCTCTACAAACATCTCTCTCTGATATAAATAGGCAAGGGGGTATCACAAAAATAGCATGGGAGATGAGCACTTCCCTGGGGAACATGTACCAATGCAAAACAATTTTTTTAAATGTTTATTCGGCCAGGAGCAGTGATTTTTACATATTTACAGTGGGAGAATAAAAATGTCCTATTCCTTTAACCACTTCAATACAGGGCACTTTTACCCCTTTCCTGCCCAGGCCAATTTTCAGCGCTCTCACAATTTGAATGATGTATACTCAGTCATGCAACACTGTACCCAAATTAAATTTTTTGTCCTTTTTTCACACAAATAGAGCTTTCTTTCGCTGGTATTTAATTACCAGTGGGTTTTTTATTTTTTGCACTATATATTATAAAAGACTGAAAAGTTTGAAAAAAAAAAACGGATTTTTTTCTTCATTTCTGTTATAAAATTTTGCAAATAAGAAATTTTTCTTCATAAATTTGGGCTGAAATGTATATTGCTACATTGCTTTGGTAAAAATAATCCCAATTAGTCTGTGTGAAAGTTATAGAGTCTACAAGCTATGGTACCGATCACTGCAAACCTGATGTACTGGTGGGCATTTCCTGAGACACCAACAAGCCAAGACAGTACAAACACCCCCCAAATGACCGCTTTTTGGACAGTAGACATTCCGAGGTATTTAGTAAGATGCATGGTGAGTTTTTTGAACCTGTCATTTTTTTCCCACAATTCTTTGGAAAATGAAGAAAGTACCATATTTTTCGCTCCATAAGACACACTTTTTCCCCCCAAAAAAGAAGGGAAAATGTCAGTGCGTCTTATAGAGCGAATATGGAGCGGCTGGTCTGGTATTTCCGTCGCCGCCACCATGTCAGAATACCGGGCTGGCCGCTCAGCTGTTCTCTGCAGCAGGACCTTACCTGTTCCTCAGTCCAGTGCTGTACAGTCTTCCCACGCCGACATCTTTAGTGTGGGCACCCAGCTGTGACAGCCCGGTGTCCACTGTGTATGCGCAAGAAGCGCTGCGCTTTATGAGTGGTCCGGGGTCTTCTGGGACACGTGACAGGTCCCAGAAGATGCCAGGCCATTTACAAAGTGCAGCACTTCTCGCGCATGCGCAGTAGGCACCTGGTTGTCATAGCTGGGTGCCCACACTAAAAGAAGGAGAACTCCGCGGAAGTGGGAGCGGTACCTGTCAAATTCAGGTACCCACTCCCCCTTCCTCCCCAAAGGTCCGCAGTCTCTTGGTCATCCCCTGTACTGTCTGCAGTCTCTTGTCATCCCTTGTACTGCCTGTAGTCTCTGGTCATCCCCTGTACTGTCTGTAGTCTGGTCATCCCCTGTACTGTCATCTCTCTGGTCATCTGTACTGTGTTCGCAGTCTCTGGTCATCACCTGTACTGTCTGCAGTCTCTTGGTCATCCCCTGTACTGTCTGCAGTCTCTGTCATCCCCTGTACTGTCTGCAGTCTCTGGTCATCCCCTGTACTGTCTGCAGTCTCTGGTCATCCCCTGTACTGTCTGCAGTCTCTTGGTCATCCCTTGTACTGTCTGCAGTCTCTTGGTCATCCCATATACTGTCTGCAGTCTCGATTCATCTGTACTGTGTCCGCAGCCTCTGGTCATCCCCTGTACTATGTCCGCAATCTCTGGTCATCCCCTGTACTGTCTGCATTCTCTGGTCATCCCCTGTACTGTGTCTGCAGTCTCTGGTCATCCCCTGTACTATGTCCACAGTCTCTGGTCATCTCCTGTACTATGTCCGCAGTCTCTGGTCATCTCCTGTACTATGTCCGCAGTCTGGTCATCTCCTGTACTATGTCCGCAGTCTCTGGTCATCTCCTGTACTATGTTCACAGCCTCTGGTCATCTCCTGGACTATGTCCACAGTCTCTGGTCATCTCCGGTAGTATGTCTGCAATCTCTGGTCATCTCCTGTAGTATGTCTGTAGTCTCTGGTCATCTCCTGTAGTATGTCCGCAGTCTCTTGTCATCTCCTGTACTATGTCTGCAGTCTCTGGTCATCTCCTGTACTGTGTCTATAGTCTCTGGTCATTTCCTGTACTATGTCTGCAGTCTCTGGTCATCTCCTGTACTATGTTCACAGTCTCTGGTCATCTCCTGGACTATGTCCACAGTCTCTGGTCATCTCCTGTACTATGTCCGCAGTCTCTGGTCATCTCCTGTACTATGTCCGCAGTCTCTGGTCATCTCCTGTACTATGTTCACAGTCTCTGGTCATCTCCTGGACTATGTTCACAGTCTCTGGTCATCTCCGGTAGTATGTCTGCAATCTCTGGTCATCTCCTGTAGTATGTCTGCAGCTCTGGTCATCTCCTGTAGTATGTCCGCAGTCTCTTGTCATCTCCTGTACTATGTCTGCAGTCTCTGGTCATCTCCTGTACTGTGTCTATAGTCTCTGGTCATTTCCTGTACTATGTCTACAGTCCATTGGTTCAGAATATTTTTTTTCTTGTTTCTAGGTGCGTCTTATGGTCAGGTGCGTACTATGGAGCGAAAAATACGGTAAAAAAAATTGTTTTTTTCACACAATTGTTATATTAACTTGTTATTCCTCACACACGGCAAATGCATACTTTCAGCTTCACCCCAAAACAAATTATGCTGCCCCTCCTGAGTTTGGGGATACCACATGTGTAAGACTTTTTAAAAGCCTGGTCACATAGAGAGACCCACCATCCAAGTAGTACCTACAGGCATTCTGAAGGCTTAAATTACACATCTCATTTCCTGGCTACCTATTACATTTTTGAAGGCCCTGGAGAACTAGGACAATGGAATTATCCACAAAATGACCCCATTTTTGAAAGCAAACACCCCAATGTATATCCTATGAGGCATAATGAGTCTTTTGAACATGTCATTTTTTTTGCACAAGATTTCAGAAAATGTGGAAAAAAATGAAAATTATTTTTTTTTTTTACACAAAGTTGTCTATTTATAAGATATTTCTAACACATAGTATGTACATACCAAAATTACACCCCAAAATAAATTCTACTATCTTCTAAGAGTGCTGCGCTGCTTGTACTCACCACTGCACTACTGGTGGATGCCTGCTTCTCCTCAGATCACCAGAACCTCTTTCTTTGGACTCTCTCCTCCTCAGAACCTTTTGGTGACCCACTGCTTTGAACTGGCTCATACTCATAATCTGAGTCTGACAGAGAGTTCCCAGCTACTCTCGTCCATTATACTTAGTATCTGGAAAGCCTCCTCGCTGGTGTATAATTTTTTAGACATGTTTATGCTGCACTGCTGATATTGCTGATGTCGAATTTGATGTTCACTGGTAGAGAGATGTTTATCACTGGTACAGATGTGGATTTGACACTGATAGTGTGTGACAGATATCGATCACTGGTACAGATGTGGATTTGACACTAATACACTGTGGCAGACATTGATCACTGGTGGTGTGGATTTTACTCTGGTACACTGTGACAAATGTTATGCATGGTACTGATGTGCATTTTACACTAGTACTGTACAGATATTGAGCATGGTTGACAGATATGGATTTGACACTGGTAGACCATGACAGATGTGGCACTGGTACAGAAGTGGATGAGCACTGGTACAGATGTGGATTTGACACTGTGGCAGACATTGATCACTGGTACAGGTGTGGATTTTACTCTGGTACTGTGACAAATGTTATGCACTGGTACTGATGTGCATTTTACACTAGTACTGTGTGACAGATATTGAGCACTGGTAAACTGTGACAGATATGGATTTGACACTGGTAGACCATGACAGATGTTGATCACTGGTACAGAAGTGGATGAGCACTGGTACAGATGTGGATTTGACACATGGCAGATATTGGTCACCGGTACAGAAGTGGAAGACCACTGGTACACTGTGACAGATGTGGATTTGACACATGACATATGTTGATCACGGGTAGAGAATGAGCACTGGTACACTGTGAAGATGTGGACACACATGTTGGTCATGGGTACAGAAGTGGAAGACTGTGTGACAGATGTGGATTTGACACATGACATATGTTGATCATGGGTACAGAAGTGGATGACCACTGGTACACCGTGACAGATGTGGATCACTGGTACAGATGTGGAATTTACACTGGTACGCTATGACAGATGTGGATCACTGGTACAGATGTGAATTTTAACATTGGTACAACGTGACAGATGTGGATCACTGATACAGATGTGAATTTTCCATTGGTACACCGTGACGGATGTGGATTACTGGTACAAATATGGATGACCACTCGTACGCGGTGACAGATGTAGATTACTGGTACAGATGTAGATGAGCACTAGTATACCATGACAAATGTGGATCACTCGTACAGACGTGGATTTTACGCTGGTACACCGTAACAGATGCTGATCACTGGTACAGATGTGGAATTTACATTGGTACACCGTAACAGATGTGGATCACTGTTACAGATGTTAATTTTACATTGGTACGCCGCGACAGATGTGGATCACTTGTACAGATGTGGAATTTACATGGTATGCTGTGACAGATGTGGATCACTGGTACAGATGTGAATTTTACACTGGTACACCGTGGCAGATGTGGATCACTGCTACAGATAATTTACACTGGTACACCGTAACAGATGTGAATTTTACACTGGTACAACCGTGGCAGATGTGGATCACTGGTACAGATATGGATTTTACACTGGTATGCCATGACAGATGTGGATCACTGTTACAGATGTGGAATTTTTACACTGGTATACCCGTGACAGATGTGGATCACTGGTACAGATATGGAATTTACACTGGTACGCCGTGACAGATGTGGATCACTGATTACAGATGTGGATTTTACACTGGTACGCCGTGACAGATGTAGATCACTGGTACAGATATGGAATTTACACTGGTATACCGTGACAGATGTGGATCACTGATACAGATGTGGAATTTACACTGGTATGCTGTGACAGATGTGGATCACTGGTACAGATATGGAATTTACACTGGTACACCGTGACAGATGTAGATCGCTGGTACAGATGTGGATGACCACTGGTACACCATGACAGATGTAGATCACTGGTGCACTGATAGCTGTGTGGGGGACACTATGGGGTGATGTGTGTATGTGTTTTACAAAGATCGGCTCTGCTTCTCCTCACAAGCAGACTCTGTGTGAGGCAGAGCTGATCAACAGACTGTCAGCTTTGTTGACATCACATAATGGTTGTGATTGGACACAGCCATCATGTGATCAGAAGGGTCAGTCAGAGAGCCCTTCTGCCGTACAGCGTTGCGCTGTGTCCAGCCTTTCTGCCATGCTGCGTTGCACTGCGCCTCTCCGCAACCACCTGCATAGATGTGAACCAGGCCTAACAAAGGAAAAAAGTTTTAAAATTTGCTGCCAATTGGCTCTAACATCTGTTATGTAATCTGCCAGCAATTTAAACTGTATCATTTTCTTAGTAGCACGGAATGCAAGAATGCAAAAACAACCCAAAAAAACTGCATGGCATTCTCCCAAAAATACATACCAGAACCTTTGAGTCTGGCATGGATTTTAAGGGAGTACCTCATGCAAAAAGAAAAAAAAAAGATCTAAATAGACCCTTTAATTCAAACATGCAGGAAAGGGGGAAGTGAGCATGTGCTCTCCCCCTCCTGAACCATACCAGCCCATGTGCCCTTAACATGGAGACAATGTGCTTTGCCACGGAGGGTCCCCTGGGCCCCCACCTCACATGAATGAGTATGTGGTATATATTGCACCTACTTATTCACAAACATTTAACGAGTCCTTTATTAAACAGACAAAAATCCCCCCAAAAATATCCCTCGTTGTAAATCAGCTGTCAGTCACAATGCCCTCCATCTGATGACCCTGTGCACGTGACCGTCCCAGCGCTAACACTAGGCGAATAACAGATCCGTGAGCAGTCATCAGCTATGTAAAGAAAGGGGCATGGATCATAATACTCTTACTACTTGACCTCTCTGCGGCTTTTGATACTGTTGACCATTCCCTCCTTCTTAAAAGACTCCACTCTCTTGGCCTGCAAGACTCTGCTCTCTCCTGGTTCTCCTCCTACCTATCGCAGCGCTCCTTCAGTGTTACCTATATTGCTGCCTTCTCCTCTTCACTCCACTCCTTTTTCTGATGGGGTCTCTCAAGGTTTTGTCCTTGGACCCCTTCTCTTCTCCATCTACACCTCCTCCCTTGGTCACTTAAAAAAACTACCATGTCTTTAAGTACCATCTCTATGCTGATGACACACAAATCTATCTTTCTACCCCTCACCTCACCCCTTCAGTCTCCTCTCGCATTACTAACCTACTAAGTGACATATCGGCATGGATGTCACTCTACTTCCTCAAACTCAATCTTTCCAAAACTGAGCTCTTCGTATTCCCTCCAGCCCGTGCTCCCTCCCCTGACTTCTCCGTCAATACCAATAATACAACCATCAGTCCCTCCCCTCATTCCAGGGTACTAGGTGTAATCCTAGACTCCCACCTGTCCTTTCAGCCCCAAATCCAATCGCTGTCCAAATCTTGTAGACTTCACCTACGCAACATCTCCAAGATACGGCCGTTTTTCACTCCCTGGTTATCTCTCTCCTTGACTAATGTAACTCCCTCCTCATTGGCCTACCTCATCATAGGCTATCTCCTCCTCAGTCTATCATTAATGCTGCCGTCAGATTCATCCACCTTACCAACCATTCCGTATCTGCCACCCCTCTCTGCCAATCCCTCCACTG